CCCCCCCCCCCCCACACACACACACCTTCCTCCCCCAAAAAAAGATCTTTGGTTGACTTGGCACATTTATTTTAAGAGTTGAAATTGTGTAGTTGGGATGTATGCAGAGGATATAGAAATAATATGAACCACAATTTTTCTTAAAAAGTAGGACCTTTTATGGGACAAACCAAACAAAAAGAATAGTGGAACCTTTTTTGGGACAGAGGGAGTATGTAAGTATGAATCATTTATCATAATTCACAATCAGCAAAAGAAAAAAAACATGAAAACTAGATTCACACCTTTGATGATGGAGGAGGTAAGGAAGCCTGCCGTATTTCCTTTTCGGGTTGTGTGAGGTGCCGAATCTCCCTGAGCTGCAGTGCTATATCCTCCAAAAGCTTCAGCTGTACTTTTTCTCCCTCTCTATTCTCCACTGACAGGTTGAGTTTCTCTCTTCCCTCTTGAACGCTCTTCAGCCTTTCTCTCAGCCTTTCAACCTCATAGTCAATTTTCAATCTTTCAATGTCAAAGGTTGACAATGAATGCCTCCGCAGCACATCACCAGGCTTGATGGATATGGTCTTTGGATCCAATGGGGGAAGCTGATCAAATACACCTGAACTGATCCTCCTACTCTTGGCTTCTTCCATTTGTGTATTCGTAAAGCTAGTACTTCTGTCAGCATCAATCGCCTGAGAAGCTGAAGCTTCAGGTGGAAGACTACTTATTATACTACAGGTAAGATCATCATTTGTCGATAATGGCATCCCTTCACTTCCTTTTCCCTCATTGCTGACATTAGATCCATCTATTATATGAACATCATGCACAACATGAAGTTCTTTATCAAATGATAAATTCGATGCGCTGAAATCCTGATATGAATCATCATGTGAAGTATTTTCTGGGTGATTATGTTCAGAAACACCTGTTTTGCTGCAAGGCAATGGGATTCCATCAGAAGCATCGATCATAGTAACCATCTCTTTCTCCTGAAATTCTTGATATCCAAAAGGATGGCTTCCTTGTTCTAGGAAGCTAGAATCTTCCTTCTGTCCTAACGCCGAGGATTCCATCCCGGATTCATCTGATCTCTTGCTTTTTTTCATGGTCTTCTTGTCAATAGATGCACTAAGCTGACGTAGCATCAAGATAGAATCCTCACTTTCATAAAGCGAATAATCAGAAAGCTGTCTTTCAGTGTCAGGTATGTGTTCATCATCACCAGCAGCCGGTTGCTCATTTCCAACACTAACCATCATCTTTCTATACGCTTCAACTTCCTTCTCCAGAAAGAGCTTTTCCCTCTCCCTCCTCACCAGGATCTCTTTTAGAATGTTCATCTCTTCTGCATCGTAAGCAGATTTTTCCTCATATATCCTCTGATACTGCCGAGCTTCCATTTCAATCAAAGCCTTCTCTTCCTGGAGGCGTGCGATCATAGACATAGCCTCATCTGCAGCTGTTGCAGCAGCATTTCTCTCCTTCTCAAGCTCAAGGTAAAGAGCATCACGCCCGGCTTGTTCTTCTTCTTCTTCTCTATCATTGGACGAAACAATCTTCTCATTTTGCTCATCATAATCAGGAAATCCATTCAAATCAAAACCGTCTCTTTGTCCATGCCTTGTTCCTTTGTGTGTCTCCCTGTAGTCTAAGTTCATGAAACATATTTATAATAGAATTTACACGGAGTAATGTATTTTGCTCTTGAATTTAAGGACTAAAGACAGGCCTAGTAGAGGCTCACATATCTCATGCATACCATTATAACAGGATTTCACCTAACATGTGATACTTTAATTACTGAATGGCATTATAAATAATTTAAAAAAAACTTTATTTCTGTCAGTATATGTGCCCAGGAATCATACCTATATATAACAATTCCCTCTGTGTGAAAACAAGGAATCTAATAAAATGACTCATCCAATACAGAGTACTGTTTAATTTTAACATTAAATGCCTTTTTATTTCAAATGCTCATTCCCAAGATAGAAAAGCAATTAACCTAAGACAATGTAACATGAGCAAACTGGATAGATTGTTTGAAATTCAATGCTGAATTCCAGAAATAGCAAAGATTTGATGGCACGTAAAAAGAATCTAAAATTGCAATTAGTTTCAGCCTGAGGGTGTACAAGACAGGAAAAACAGGTAATTGAATATTGTGCTCAATTCATCCATAACAATCCATAATATGCAGGATGACTAACTCATATTAAAATTCTCAAGGGCAATAGAAACTCACGAGAATAGTGGGCATCAAATCCATTTCCATAAAGCTCTCTGCTGTTTTCCCTCCACAGTCTAATTTCATTCCTTTCTTTGTTGATACTAGGTGGAGATATTGGACAACTTTGAAAATCGGAAAGCGAATGATCATACGATGAAACTGATGATGAAGTCCAACGCTCAGCGGCTAAAGCCCGTTTTCTACGACGACGTATCCCACTTCGGTTCTTATAGATCGTTACCCCTTTTCCCTTTACATCAGCCCTTCCGTCTCTTACACTCCCAATCTCAGTCTTGTTTGTCTCAAACTCAATTCTTGGAACACTAATTGATTTCCTTGCATCTGACAATGAACTACATGAAGCCTCCCGGGGTTCAATCCCAACAAGCCCGGGACTAGTATTGAAACAGTTATCGTCCTTCTCCTCAATCAACCTCATGTTCAAATGGCAATTATTATGAATGTTAAAAGGGAACTTTCCCCTCACCAATAGCTGAACATCAGACACTTTCTCATTAGGAAAATCAACCAGGAGCCTTTTCAAGCAGAGATTCGTATTCGGGGATATCCCAAATAGTCCATTACAAGGGCAAGGCAAGGGCAAACCAAACAGTCCTAGAAATTTGGTTCCCAAGAAAACCACAGATGATGCACAGAGCAAGAAATAAGATATAGCTAGATCCAGAAAAGCAGCCACTAAACTACTGAGACTCCACATATAATCTACCTCACAACCCATTTTCTTTACAGTTTAAACGAGAAAGTGCAGAGAATCAACTTTACAAGAGAACCAATAAAGGGCATGTTTGTTTCCCAAAAAAAGTACAGAAAATTGGCTCAAAATCTGAACTTTACCATCATAAGATAGAATTGCACCTATTTCTTGTCCCCCTTTGTTCGTTTTGGTGATAACCCAGAGCTTCTGTCCAAGAGATATTCTTCAAGCACGGAAACCCAGAAGGCTGAGATATAGAGAAAGTTTATATTTTTCCCTGAATTGCAACAATGATGATACGGGCACAATAATTGATTTCCTTTGGGGTGTCTGGATCTTTTCTATTCAATCCACAGCCACTAGGAATATGTTATCTGAAGATTATCACATGGGTGGATGGATGGCTGCTCACCGACTCATTAATTTCTACACAGACAAGATGCCGTAACTCGTTCCAGACGGTCAGCTATGAGTGATACTCCGTATCATAACACTGCTTTCGCGCTATTAGAATAGGAAATGGTTTGAGGATGAGCCACAGCAATGGTTTTATTCTTATTTCCGAAATAAAAGGAATTTTTATTTATTTTTATTTTTAATGTTTTATTCAAACTCCAATAACTATTTACATACTCAAATCTTATTTACTTTCTTCTATTTACTTTTGTTAGTTACTGAGTATTTGATAAAATAATATAGTCAAGTTATTTTTTTATTTGTAGAACTTTTTATTTGTTTTAAAATATGTAATTTTTGTTTTTAAATTTTTCTCATATAATCAAATAAATTAAATTTAAAAAAGTTCAGTCAAACCTTAGCTCGTAAATCAAACTGGAAAGATCATTTTAAGACGGAGAAAGTAATTTTTTAAATTTAGTTTATTTACAAAATGACATAAAAATAAAAAATGCAATTTACATATTTAAAAGTTATATAAAAAATTCTATAAAATAAATGGTAATAAAAATATTTTACTTTATCAAATGTCCAATAAAAATATAAAAATAAATAAAATTTATGGAGGGACCAAAATAGCAATTGTAATAAGTTTGAGTTTCCATTTTCTACGAACATCATAAAAGATGTCAGATGTAGGTACGAGTACGGTGGGTTCGGTTTTCACTCAAACCAAAGACAAAAAAAATATGTAAACTGTTGGTTATTTGGTTCGGTTTATGTGATTTGGAATCGGTTTTTTTGTTTGATTTTTACACAAAACCAAAAACCGAACGTAATGTTAGTATTTTGTTCAGTTCAATTTTTACAAGAAAATATGTGTCGAGTGTCTAACAAAAATCTAGGAGATTCCAAATACTCCCAAAGACATCGTATTTAAATATACGGAGAACTAGTGTTAACCCCGTGCTTCGCACGGGCTCGTATATATTCTAAATTTCTGAGATTGTATAAATATAATTTTAGCTGTTTTAGTTTTTAATAGTGACAAAATATATTTTAAACTGGTGGAATATATATTGGTATGTTAATTTAGAAACAAACAAATTATACAAAATTAATTGTCATTGAATTTAGTACTAATAAAAATAATTTTAATTAATAAAATATTTTAATAAAAAGTGGATTAATTACATAATGATACATCATTAGAGAATGTATATGTGTTATAATGTCACTTGTCAGTTGTTACCCTTCAACGAAAGCAATTTTATTTTATTTACTTTGTTAAAAAATATTTGTAGCAATAAAATAAACAATGTAGTAAGATAAAATTTTTGAAACAAATTGTTTAATTAATAAATATGCATATGTGATTAAATTTATATAATCATTTTTTGAAAAGTAATAAACTAAAATAAGTTGTGGATAGTATAAAAATAATCCTATTTATAATTAATCCTAAAAATAATCCTAAGAATAATTAATTTATATATATAATATGGAGTATATTTTACAATGATGAAATATATATTTATAGAATTACTAAAAAATGAAAAAGTTTTATGCAAATGTATTTAAAGATCTTTTAAAAAAATCAAAATGGACCAATGAATTGAAATGCATATATCCACATCATTAGTGAGTGCACATGTGGCATGCCACATGTCAACACTACAACAATTTAACTCTCTTTTACATATATATATATATAGGATTACATTTTTGGGTATAATACTTTCATTTCCATTATAATATCAATTTTTTTTTATGTAAATATGTAAATTATTCGTATCAATATTTAATGTTAATATAGTTCTATATTAGGATTAGTTATTGGTGTTTATATTCTTAGGAGGTTTTTTTAAAGTTTATAATACTCCGTATGGTTTAAAATGTTTAATTAATAGTTAAAAAATAACTTTAGTCGACTAGTCAACTATTTACATTTACATTTCTATGACTTTTTACATATCACATATACTCGTCTAAATAAAGTGAAGTACCTAAGAAAATTTGGTCTATTCGGTTCGGTTTTCCAAAACGAAAACCAAATAATAACGATTTGGTTCGATTTTCTTACATTCGGTTTCGATTTTTTTGTTCGTTTTTTTCTAGCTCGTTTCGATTAGTTTCGGTTCGATTTGCAATTTCCGATTTTCCAAGCCTAGTTCTAAATGTAGGTACCATATACGGAATATAACTAATTGAAAGTTTGAAAAAGGCAATCGATAATTTATTAAAAATAAAGCATTTAATAAAAGCTTATACTGGGTAGAAGGTAATGAATAAATTTCTTAATTAGCTAGCTGCTGAAAGGCATTTCAAAATCGAGTGATTTGAGTCTACAATTTGCAATGACTTTACCGAATAAAATTAATATTGTTATAGATTAAATTAATAAAAGTAGTTAAAGATTAATATGATTTTGTACAAAATAAAAATATAAATGGAAAAAATAAAATTAAATATCAGTTATGAATCGATGGAATAAATTATGTTATAAAAGAAACTAATGAAAGATAAATACTTTGTACAATATTGTCACTTACAATTCTTTTATTGCATTTTTATTCTATACACATTTCATATTTTTTATTTTGCATTTTATATAACGATGTTAATTAATCCTTTATATATTAAAAGGAGAGTTCAATCTCCAAGAACTTGACATGTGGCGATTCCAAGAAATTGACAAGTGGCGATTCCAAGAACTTGACAATTTATATTTAGGTTAATGATCTTATGCCAAAGAAAAAGAAAAGGTATGGTCGGATTGGTCGCTACCTATCTTGAAAAAATAAAACCTTAGGACTTCTCATTGTATGAGTAGATATAACTTTTTCATTTGACTTTTAACAATTTTCAATCTAACATTTTAACCATTAGTATCGATATTTACACTTATCATATTTTATGAAAAATTCATATTTCAAAACAATGTTTCAAAAAATATTATTGATATTATTACATTTATAGAAAAACAAAAAATATTTTTTAGATATATCTATGTCAATTTTTACAAAATTTGTTAATAAAATCAAATTATAAAATCAAATCAGAACAAAAGGAATCTTATGGAAGAATTTCAATATTTTATTAAATTTTATACAATTGAGTAAAAACTAAAATTATATTGTGACTAACAAAAAAAATTCAAAATTAATTTTCATAGAGTATAAATATAGCGTGAATGTGATATAATTATTCTCCGTTTTAGAATATAAATTAGGTAAAATTACTTATGATTAGAATATATATGTTCAATTGGTCTTTATTCTACGGAGTAAATGGAACATATCATAAAGTAGTACTTAAAATTGTCATACTCAAAATGGTAGAAATATGTTTAAAAAATATATTTTGCATATTAAACTTACTAAAAAAATGTATATGCATTTAAATCCGTGTGTGTCAATGCATATATAAGACATGTGTTATATAATAAAGAAGCATTATTTTTATATTTATTAGTTTTTTTGCTTTTAATGTATTATCTTTAAGCACGAGTACAATAAGCATTTAAATATTTTTATAGGTATTTCCCATAAATAATTAATTTCAACTACTCATATCAATTAATTTTAAGATATACAAACCAATGTAAATATTATTTAAAAAATTTGAAACCAAAACCCTTTAATTTAATAAGAATTTTGAAATAAAAAACAAAAATCAAAGAAAAAATAACCATATGATTTTGGTTAGAGAGTAAAAATTATAAATCTATAAACAGTCACTATAGATTTTGCAAAAAAAAAATGAATTATAAGAAAATATTAAATATAGTAATTTGTGAAATTACTTGCCTTCTATTTTGAACCTTAATCTTATAAATTTAATAAAATGTTAAATATAGTAATTAGTGATACTACTAGCCCTCTTTTTGGATTTGATACTTAAATTACTCAACTTTAGAGTCATATTAATAGAAAAAAATGATAAATCCGAAATTCTATTACAAAATGTACGGGTATAATCCAAGGAATGTGTCATCCACCACTCCTATTCAAGGTTTAAATGCACATATGTTCCATGATGATCAATATTGTGATAGAAAAAAGAAAAAAAATAAGCATTTAAACTTCATCCTTTGGATTTTTTTACTATTGTTGGTATGAGAATCTAACTTTTCTATAACAATTAGAACCATGTGGATGTAAAGCTATCAAAGTTTGAAGACAATTGACAGTGTTGTACGTAGCTCATTCGTAGATGCACATGAAGCATTGGGGGGGGGGGGGGGTTTNTATAAAAGATTGTTAACAATGGCGTACACAAAAAATTTTATCAACTAATGATGAGGAAATTAATGAGGCTCAAATATGATAGTCATCTAAGAAAGCTGTTTGTTACATTATTAGCGACAATGCAAATACCATGAGTCATCCTCAAGTTGTCCCGAAAAAATTATGGGAGCCTTGGTTAATGGAATTTTATTTGACCAAAGAAGAATATTTCATAATCAATACATTTCAATAAAAGATAGTTTTTATGATTTATATAAAGATCGATATGGAGTGCATTGTACGTATACAAAGCTCTAGAATTGAGGTATGAGTTGATACACGTAATCACATTTTAACCATTTTGTAGAATTTATTCTTTTTCCAAAAGATCTAAAATTTTGTGTTTGATTGAGATTAAAAAGGCACTTAATTCAATTGAACGATCTTAAGAAGAGTTCAATGGTATGTCATTCCCTAGAAAACATCTTGTTTAATATATTTCAAAATAATTTCTTGGTAAAGGAGTTGAACTATGACAAAGAAAAGCTATCATCTGATTTTACACAATATTTATCTATAATGAATGAAGACTGAAAGAAGATATACGAACAGATGATGGAAGTTGTGACAGTTGAAAGAGAAGGTTTCTTTTTTATGTATGATTACAAAGAAACTGGGAAAACATCTCTCTAGAAATCATTATCTACTTCTCTAAGATTTAATATCAAGGTTGTTTTGAATGTTGCATTCAATAGCATTGCACCATTTCTATTTTATGGTGGAAAGACAACATATTCGAGATTCTCAATCCCTTTGGCATTAAC